TACAAATGTAATTGAAAAGCTTAATTCGAAAAGAGTTGTTTTCATCAATCACCTATTCGGTTTTTTTTTTACCAAAAGTAAAAACCTTTGGAAATGTAGCAAGTACAGTATTCATGAAGTAGGCTGTGCGTTGTGCTGTGCTGATTGTTGGTTCTCTTTAAGCTTCTCAATATGTATTTAATATATTTGTATAAATTTTGTTATTTACTTTGAAACGCAGACATAGCCTAGTGTTGAATGAACCACATGCACTACCAGTTTGCAAATAAATAAATAAACAAACAGTATTTTCTGAACCACTGAAATGTACATTGTTTCTCTGTTTCAGTCAAAACCATATCTTATGGTTACACTCACCTATTAAAAGAAACTGCATGCAGATGATCTCTTTCAGATATTATGTCATGTATTTCAGAACGTCCAAACTCAGTGTATTCTTTTTTTTTTGTTAAGTCTAATTAGTGAAGTTGAATAAGCATCATATAAGCACACCATACTTTTATGCTTACAAACAAAAACCAAACACAATTAATACTTAACAGTTACCTGGGGCTAAAGTATTTATTTCTTGATTTGATCAGGCCATGCTCCTTAATATCTGCGTGCATTCAGTCACTAAGCAATTCAGGAATGTCACAATGACGCAGACTTGTCTTTCTAAATAAATACAGTGAGGGTGTTCCAGTAGTGTAGAGGCTTTCACTGAGCATGGGGTGTAAAGCACTGTAAAGAATGGAGCATCCTGAGCTGAATTCATCAGAGGACCCTTACAAAAGTACACAATGGGGACTATTTAGGCCTATCCTGTACTTAAAAATGCAAACCACTCTGGTGGGTATATGGACGTATATTATCTAAAACAGCAGCAATAAGTAGAAACCAACATCAACAATTGCTGGAAATGGCAAAAATTAAGTTTCATATTCTTGCACCAGCAAAGAAAGTCTTGGGGGGGTGGCAAAGTACCTTTACAAAATAAAAGCTCTCAGCTGCACTTTCCTCCCACAGAGTAACTTTGCAAAATAAAAGCTCTCAGCTGCACTTTATCCCCCCACAGAGTAACTTTGCAAAATAAAAGCTCTCAGCAACACTTTCGCCCCACAGGACTGTATTGGCTGATCTGTTCTGCAGTAGCATCACCTTTTGTTTTTTCCACTAGTGTAGATGGGTATTCAACCACACTGTGCAGTATTTGACAGAGGAATACAACTCAAACCAAAGACTTGGCAGGAGAATCCAGACACACATTTTTACCCATAATTCTTTATAACTCACTTGGTGCACCCTTTTCTGTTATGATTTTTAATCCAAAAAATCTTAAGTAACCAATGCTAGGTTTGATTAGCCCCTGCTTTATGACAAAATGAGATTACATTTCTATAACATAAAAATGAATTCCTAAAATATTACATAGAATACGGAGGTCTTCCATCGCCATTTTTAACTTAGAAAAGGTCAGCAAGGTAATTGACACATTTGCAGAATTTCCTCAGGTGCAAACACATCTGTTAATATGGGTAACGGTTGATTCAGGCTGTGCTACACAGTCAGTCATTTGTATCTCCAGGGTGGTGTCATTCATTCAAGGATCTTTGTGTGAAGAGTTTTCCTCTTTTTTTTTGTCTGCTTGTGCTACAATATCTTGCCACAGTCCAAATAAATGAGTTTCAGGTGAATTAATAGCACTAAATTACCCTTGGATTTTGCCTGTTTAAAAGTACGTGATGACGTAGGATGGACTTGCCCTGTACTTCCTAAGATGGGCTCAGTATTAACATAGCTATAGAGAGCACACTTTAATATTTATTGGGGAAAAATCTGGGTTTCTGCAATGTGATGAGTTTGGAAGGTTTCCATTTAAAAATGTATTTGCCGCAACTCTGAATTAAGGGGAGAGTAGTGAAAGCATAATCATTTCATGCTAATGGACATCTATTGCCTCAAGGTGATGGACTTAATGATATTTAGCATGAAATATTAAACCTGGACCATTATCAAGTATAACATTTTTAAAACATGAAAATACGTCAGTCCTCTTAAATCTTTAGTATAAATAGAAGAAACTAGTCTAAATGTATGATTGTACAGTAATCAATGCTTCAGCTCCGGGCCGGTCAGTCCTATAGGCGGCATAGGCAGTCGCCTAGGGCACCGTCTTGCCAGCCAATGTCACTGTACCTCAGTGGGGGAGTACTGGCAGTGAACCCCGCACAGGGCGCCACCTCGGCTAGGACTAATACTGCTTCAGTTTTTATAATTAGTATATGATCTGTCTTATTTGATGATTAATTATGATTCTTAATCACCACCTGTTTGTACACAGCTTTCCATAAGATCCACCGACGGGAGACGTGATTAGTGGCACCAGCTTCGTCCACAAAGCGCAAAATTTAGACGAACTCGTTTGCACACCAGATCTGTCACTTTTGGAGTTGATACTGGAGATTTATAACACCCAGCTAGCCTGCTGACCCAGCCAGTGTCTGCCTGCAGTGCAGAGTTACGGCAACAGGATACAGTGGATACTGTTCCAGGCTGCATGCGTTACCACGGCAGGAATATTAATGACAGCACACAACAGTATCAGCGGGAGTGAGACTGTCTAGTTCCTGTGAGGAAGCCACGCTTGGACGAGGCTTCTTTTGTGGTTTATAATGTAAGAAGATGTCAAAACTTTGACTTCCTGTGGCCCAGTGGAACAAAGCTTTAACATGAATGTCCCAGTGAATGTTATGGGATCCATCTTGAATATCTGGCAAGATTAGGTGCTCTGCCTCTTTCAAACCCTCACACAGGGGGAGCGATATCAACCAGACCCCACAGTGTTCTCAGTAGTGAAGGAGTAGCTTTGTTTGTTTGTTTGTTTGTTTGTTTGTTTGTCCATTTCCGGTAAGGAACCTAAAGGGTCATTGCAGAACTTCTTTCATAAAACACATGTGGGAAACATAAGCCTGATGAAAACTACTAATCAAAAGCATACAACAGATTCAGAGAACTAAATGAAACAATACTGTTGACTTCTGGCTTTTCACCAGGAAATAAATAGTCTCCATTTCACCCATGTTGCTCATCTTGTTTACACAAATGAACAGTTTGACTGCTGAAATTACAGTGGGGCTGAAAAGCAACGATAGCACTGGTACTTCTTTTGAAATGTTGATGTAGTTTAATTATGGAACCCACTGAGGGTTTTCTGTTGGCTGGCAGAATCGACCTCTGTATTATTATTAATCACATTCTTATCATTCATTTAATGTTCAAAGAGATGGTCTCACAAAATTGCCCCAGCATCCTCATTAGTGTCTGTCTGCTTGCATTAATTTATTCATCTATCTATCTATCTATCTATCTATCTATCTATCTATCTATCTATCTAAATTTGTTTGCTTATATATATATATATATATATATATATATATATATATATATAATGTTTATATATATATATAATGTTTATATATATATATATATATATATATATGCTTACACACTTTTTCATTGTTGTTGCTATCTTCCCCACACCCACCTTAACATCAGCTTATTATTGCATAATCATTTGATGCAAATGTTCTTCAGATGACACTGCTTGTGTGGCTGCTTGAATGCTATTGCATGTAATTTTGTACCTTATGGTACCAGGCAGCATGAATGCAGTAAAATTAAGGTTCCAGTGTGCAAAATATGTGCTTCACATAAAAGAGTTGTAATAAGTAGTCAATGTTTCACGTACTGTGCATTCTTATTGGGCCGTGGCAGCTTTAGGGTGGAAATTAGAGGTTGGGATATTAAATATGCACACTGTGGTGTATGAATGGCTCTGGCTCATGACCAGTGCAGACATTACCATTTTCTCAGTGTTGACAAAGCAGGTTGCATTAACAATTATTGTTCTCCACCTCTATGAGTGAGGGTCTACCAGGGCTCAGCAAATGAGTTGAACTAACCTTTCTGACCACAGTCTTCCCTATCTTCTCAGTGTCCTCATAAAATATTTAATATGCTTCTAAACAACCAGCCCAGTCCTCCTTGCAATCTTTTTTTTTTTTTTGGATTGTTGAATGATGTCATGGAAATGAGAGAATCGATATGCTAGGCAAACTACACTCTCTGTGACCCTCTGGAATAGAGCAGATTCAGTGATTCGTGCTTCTTAAAATTCATTTTGTTTGAACTTATATAATTAAGGCTTAATCGTAATGTTGGACACTTGATGCCCTCGATAGATATTCCAGACGGGTCATATAGGAAAATTCATACGTGGAGTGATTTTATATAAATCACTCAACTAATACAAGTGTGGCAAAATAAAATTCCATTGGAAATCACTGTTATCTTTATCTGCCACAACTCAAAGAGTCCTGAAATTTGGAATGTGCATCTTGTGCATCTTACATGAATGATAAACGTATTGATCCTGAAGAATGCCAAACGTGAATTCCAGAAGCTGCGGGTGATGGTGATAATGATGGACAAATGTGTTCAATATGGGGTCAAAAGTGCAGAGCAGCAAGCTGTCAAACAGCAAAGGGTACAGAAAAGGGGATATTTCACAAATGCATTGGAAGACTGATAGAAAGTTAATATACAAAGAGAAAAAACACCAATGATGAAGGAATGAGAGTAGAATGGTGGATAGTTGGATAAGTAGGGTATAACATACAGGACAAAAGTACCTTATGCTGTTCACTGATGTGAGGAACTTTCTGGAAATGTCTTCAGTTATTATTATTATTATTTCTCTGTGAAAGGGAGAAAGAACATAAGAGCACTTAAGTATACTCATTCTCAGCAATTAACAAATGTACTGAAAGATTATCTGTTGGATTTCAAGAAGAGAAATGGTAGAATACAACTGCCATTATTAAAACTGGAAAAGAAACTGTTTGCTATTGCTGGTTTGTGGTTTTTTTTAAGTCGACAGGATTCAGCCTAATGTGTGGACCCCTGTACTCAGACTACTCACAAGGTCTTGCTTTCATTTTACTCCTCCAAAGGCATTGCAGTAAATGTGACCAGAGGTCAAATACAGCTGCTCAAATATTTTTCTTACTAAATGGCGGATTTATTGGATAAATAAGTTGTCCGCTTGATTCCGAACCCGTTGTGATTGAATTTTGCCGCTGTGTCAACATCGCCACCGCCCCATATCAGAGGCTGCATGGAGAATCGGCGCTACTGGCCGAGATTCCTGAGTAAATAAAAGTTGGAAATGAATACAGATTTCGAAGGTCTACGCTCCTGTTCCCATATGACATCTGTATCTTGGGGTCATTTTTCACGATTATTGTTCATAAGCAATATTACAGTTGGAGCAGCTGTGTAGGATATTCCTTATGGCGGTCATGCAGTTCAACTAAATTAAAGCATGAATACATAGCCGGCTTTGCAAATAAAAAGTGCTTTATTTACCTAAATAATTTTATCTGAATATTTTCCAGTTTCTCGATTAAACAAATTCATTCTATAGCGCAGTATATGGGAGACAACAAATTATGCATTTAAAAATCCTACTCACCTTTCGTGTGGACCTTTGCATTTTAGATTTCGCTTACGTCAACATTAACCCACCTTAAAGAGACACATAGGCGTGAATCTTCAGGTCAATTTTACTGCAAAAAAAATCTTGATTATGTTCATGCTTTATCTAGACTTAAACAGGAATATTTTTATTTATTAAAAAATATTTTTAGCCCCTTTAAGACCCAAAAATAACGTCCCAGTCATTTTACAGACAATGACAAAAATCCCTTTTTTTCAGTTTGAGGAAAAGGGAGAAGCGGCAGAAAGCTTCTCTGCTTGAAAGGAGCCCAGCGTGTTGGCCTGTTTCATAAGAGCAATGAAAGGACTCGAGGATGAACCGTACACAAGCTTCTGCTGATCGTAAAATATTCAGAAGCATGATTCTCGGTGTGCTTCATACGACAGTAGTTTAGATAATTTTTTAAAAGGAAATTATTATTATTATGATTATTATTATTATTTTGCTTTTAGTTTGACGGCGGGATATCGTTGGCCTCTGCTGATGAAATCGTACTTGATTAACAGATCCGTGTGGCAAACAGCCTGACATATGGCTGCCGAAGCAGCTGGGAATCGTACCTAAGGCATCCCCTACGGCCATTAACATATTAGAAGCTTTTGTGCAGTCAGACAGTCGGACTTCATCTCGTGCCCAGCTCAGAAAGACAGCACCCCAGAGCTGTTTGATATAGGCTTTCAATAATGCATTACCGTTCAGTCTGCGAGGGAGCTGTTCTTGGTACTGAAATATGGCTGAAATCTGGAGCCCCAGTGAAGCCTGCGTTCATGAGTACATTAGCAAGTGCTCCCCGAGATCGTTCTGCAGGGATAAAAATACAGCTACCAAAACAACGATTCTAATAACTATAAAATCTATAGTGTTTTAATGAACTAGGAAAAAATGAATGCGTATAAAAATAAAAAATCGACATCCGTTATGTTTAAAATACTTTTAAGTGGGTTTTACTGTTTTTACAACCACACGGTCATTTTGTTATTACTATTAGACATTGTAGAGTGCAGTGAGAACGTTGCTTCTGTATTAAGTTTCTGGAATTTGGCAAAACACTTGAAAAGAAAACAGTTATTTTCCAAAAACAAATATTTAATGTAAGTTACATAGCTGCAAATAATTTAAACTTCACCTACCAATCAAATCTGATCAGGCAATACTCGTTGAAATTTGGACAACTTTATGGGTCTATCTAAAAGCTGAGAATCATGCTGCCTCCCTTAGTTTGGGAAAATATGTTAATTTATTATGTCGTCAAACTTCAGGGTGCGCATTTTTAACACGTCACAACTTTCTTCTTCTTCTTTTCTTCGTACTACCACTATAGGTATCAAATAAAACACATGGCGTATACTAAAAGCAGAACAACACTCAAACGTTTTCATTATATTTATGACGGAAATTGTTTCGTTATTTTTCCCAGAAATTAAACTAAATGTCCTTACTCACAAATCAACCATCCCATTTCTCCGAAGCCAAATACCAAACAAAAGCAATAAATAGGTCGCATTTCCCCGGTCTACAGCTGTGACCACTTTCATCAGCCGATTCTGTCAAAACCCCGTTAGCCCTCTGAAAATATTGCATTTTATATCACCAAAAGTCGATTAATACTGCATCACAAAACAATTAGTTTTAGGGAAAGTGCGGGCTTTGTATTATTATTATTATTTAACCAGATAATATAGACCTAACTAATTTGAGACCTATCAAATCGTTTTAATAATAATAATAATAATAATAACCGAATTTACGTTTCCGTTTTTACTGCTATATTATTATTATTATTATCATTGTTGGATTTTTCTGCTTATGATAATTTTGAGATAATTACTTTATTTTTTATTCTAGAAAAAAAAAATTACATACATATATTGCTAGACAAATCACTTATTGTATTATTGTTGTGGTTATTATTATTGTTGATGTCTTCTTGTTTCTGTTGCTTTGCTATGCAATTTGCAAAAAAAAAAAAATTAAAAACTAGTCATGGGATGATGTATAGTAAACACTTTTTATACTTCCGCCGAACTGCGCTTTAGAATATAAGAAATTTCTAAAACATCTTAGAACATTTCTAATATCGATAGTATCATGCAGTGGGGGTAAGTTACCAATTTATTATTGCCTATGCGGAAAACAACTGGCGGCAAATGATGCACGTGTATTTCTCCTGTTCTCAGTTTTCGATACAATACTTCCGACAACCGGAGGAAATGAAAATAGTTGGGGCTGTCAATTCAGGGTAATTAAATAAATCATAAAACACATAGTTAAAGTAGTCAATTGTTCTTTCTAGACTGAACTTCACCAATTTTCTGAATTGCATAAAATGAGATTTAGTCACAACAAACAAGCTAACAATAACAACGATGAAAATAATAATATTCAAGCTATCAACAACAACGATAATTATAATAATAATAAATAAAGTAAATGTTTTGTATTTAATCTTCTATAGGCCTACATTTGAAGGCAAGAGTGTTTCGCAAAATGCACTTTAAATAGTTTCACAGTTACGAAATATAATACTGCGGTTATTCAGGAAAATTTGTCCGTAAACTTGTATGTTTTCTTTGAGTTATTGCCCTGAAAAACAATCAATAAGTAGCATAACTTCATAACTACATACACTTTCATTTAAACTATCTCACACACTAAAAATATTGTACAAGAAAACTGCTCATACAATGTTGAAGTATTCCTTTTAGATATGCACAGTCGATATTGTATCGTTGTATCTGCTTTTTGTAGTTTTTGATGGTTATGATGCTGTTAAACAGAAACTGCCTATTTGAGAACTTCTTATAATGGCATGAAATGTTTGTAACAACAAGAATGGGCAGTCGATCTATCAATTATAAGAACATTACGTGTTTCACTCAAAAACGTAAGTGGAGTTCTCTGTTATTTTTATGATTATTCTTTTTTATTATCATTTCAAGCTGGTGGGGATGCAGCTCCCTTTTGTTGGATTTGGCTTACAGAATTTATTGAATATAAACACAACTCAGGAAGACACAATCATAGCTGAAGACCGAAAACATACAGGAGCGAGGAAAAAGACAGTGAGACATCGTCACGGAGCACGTTTCACGTGGGCGTAGTTTGTAAACATCTGTGCAAAAAAATAAAATTTTACTTGTATTTTTTGTTATTGTTTTGTTTTCCTTAGGCAATGCGAAAATACCATTCTGTTCTTACGTGAGAACAGGCTGTACTGATGCCTTTCACAATGGTCTACCGCTAGTGCTTATATAGTTATTTGAATGCACAAAATGTTTGCACTGTAAATTATAGGATACAAAAGTGTTCTGCCACATGCCATCGGAAAAATAAGAAATAATAATTTTTTGAATAACTTAATAAAACTGAATCGTGCAGGTTAAAGATCCATTTTTTTATTTTAAAATTCCGTATCCATTTATCCATGTTTTTTATTTTAACTTGGGATTCAGATTCTGAATTCTGAGAAGGTGTCATACATATATACAGTTAACCATATTAACATATCTAGCTAATGAACATAACCTAAATAACTATATATCTTAGTGCAAATTCAAAGTAAATTTCTGCGGTCGCAACCAAGGTCATTTTACAGTGGTATGATAGGAGTGGCCATTTCTACGTTTGGAGCTCTTTTTATAATCATGCAAATCTTCGAAATATTGACCAGGGAGAAAAGTTACGCGGATTACGGGCAACACTGAAAGTTGAGACCAATATTTGATGGATTTTTAAATGTTAGAACAATGCAATTTCAAACGTTGTTTATTTATTTATGTAATCACATAAATAAATAACCAAGCTAGCAAATGAACTTTACAGTTGCAAATAATAAGGTAACAAACAGATAACCTTATTTTTTTTTTACAATGTTTAGCAATTTAATAGACACACATTATATGAAAGCATATTACCACATTAAAAAGAAATACATAAATTAAATAAAATTCAGAGGACTTTTTATCCAACCAACCAAGAATGGGGTATATACTGAACCAGCAAACATTTGCATACTTCACATTCATCAGTGAAACGAAGATGACTGGGGAGAAAGTAAATAAATAAAACATATCGTAATAATAAGCCTTATACAACCGGTTCCATTAATATACCACGTTTAAAGCCTTCGTTAAAAGGAAGACAGAAATTTATATTTATTTGGATGCTCCTTGGTCCCAAAACACGGTCAAAAGCAACTATTTTTCAGTCAGTTAATGGGTAGCAGAAAATTTTAACCGCTTTTGTTTTTGTCTTTGGTTACAAAACCATACGCGCACCACGTTCTTTTTGAGGTCCAGTTTCTCTGCTATTGCTGCTATCTTCTCTGACGACGGTCGAGGCTGAACAGCAAAGTATGCCTCTAAAGATCTTTTTTCCGGGGCTGCTATCGATGTCCTCTTACGCTTCTTTTCTCCCCCGTTAAAAATGTCAGGTTTGCTCATTTTTTCTCTTTGCGCTCCCTCAGCCTCTTCCAGCCATGCTTGAAGAATAGGTTTAAGCGCTATCATGTTGTTGTGCGAAAGAGTTAATGACTCGAAGCGACAAATCGTACTTTGACTTAAGGAGCCCACACCGGGGATTTTCAGATTGGCAAGCGCAGCACCAACGTCCGCTTGGGTTACACCGAGCTTTATTCTTCTTTGCTTAAACCGCTCTGCAAACGCCTCTAATTCCCTTGGATCGGTGTCTGAGTCGGTAATGGAGGCAAGTCCGTTTGTGGGGAGTCCTGGCGTGCTCTGGGAACTTCCGTGATGGCCAGGTAAAAGCCCGTGATGCGTAAGGGGGGAATTCATATTCATAGCAGCCTGGTGGGAAAGATGGCCCAGGCCGTGCATGTGTGAGTGCGGATGGGCAGAGGTGGAAATCAGTCCTCCCCCACCACCGCCGCCTCCGCCACCTCCGGTCCCGTCGTGTCCACCGGTCATTAAGGCCAGAGAAGGCGAGCTAATGTGCTCCATGAGGTCTGGGGGTTCAAGGTTCTGGTGATGGTGATGGTGGTGGTGGTGATGATGGTGGGCGAGAGGCACGGTGGAGGTCGACGAGCACGGCACGCTGCTCATCGTGTGGTAAGTCGCATCAGGCTTGAAGGGATGGGTCTTGCCCTGAGACACTGCGATATCCACGGCTGCCAGGGCTTCGGCGCGGGCCAGGAGCGTCTCATCTAGGCTGGCAAAGATGTTGCTCTGCAGCTGAAAGTGGAAGGAAGGAGAGAAACGGTAATGGTGAGAAAAAAGGGTATCAGGAATAAATGGATATGTTAACCTCAGCTGGGGAATACTGTCATCATAGACCACATTCTGAATATTCCTTTCTGAAGTTGAAGTCATAAAAATTAATACAAAAAGGCAGAAGTCGCAGCCTTCGGTGAATATGCCTTCAAAAAAGATCACAGGCGTTCAGATGATTGCCGAGGAATACATGAAAAAAACATTAAGCGCCGCTTGTCAGATTGTGCCTCGCAGTACTCCTTCTTATTACAAACGAGCAGACCCTGGTATAGAAAGAGACACGAGATAACTTTAGCTACTTTACCTGTGGAGTCTGCAGGCAGGCTCTCCGTATCGCCTCCGAGCTGGAGTGAAGAGTGGTGTACTTGTGTTCAGGTAAAGTCGGATGCATGGCAAAATGTGGTTGTTTGCTGTTCATGGACATCATAATTGCGGATCCTCGAAATAATTAAAGTGCACAGGAGAAAGGTACCGCTCCGGGTTTGTTCACCAGTGATGCAATAACTAGGGGTGTTGAGTGCAGGTTTCGAGTCGGGAGATCATACGGTGATGCTTGCAGCCCCAGTCGCACTCGTCTGTTCGCTGTTTCCTACTGCTGGGATGAGAAGAGCTCCTACACCTGAGTCCCTCAGATCTCGTCAAGCGATTGCGGCTTCTCTCGCGAGACACTAAGCCGTGCAGGCTGACAGATGACAGACGCTTTAAGTCCAGTTGCCTCTCTAGCACTCCGACACGTCGACGGCGGGATTCTTTTTGAGGACGGAGAGGTATAAAGCATGGGTTCTACACCTGTAGATTGTGCGCAGGCGTATTCGCTGACAACTGTTTTTGAGCAAGCAAACATAGCCTACTAGCATCATACTCATTTCATTTATCTGTTTTAGGTTTGTTATGGCTATATGAAACATAACTTTTTAATATAATAAATGTCAATTACTACCTGGAAATCTCAATACAACAACAAAAATAATAGTATATAATAATAATAATAGTAATAATAATAATAATAATAATAATAAAAGTAGTTTCACCACGTCCAAACTTAAAATTTTAACCTACATTAAAAGTATTAGTAGACCGTATATATTCTAAAACTTTATAGATAGATATAATGAGCTATGATTGTATTACCTATGTAATCTAGAGAATATGAACAATATTATTAAAACCATAAAATTGTATATATAAAAAAAATCAGTATCATATCCTCATCGATAACATCTACTGGACGGAGTAAATCGAAGCATGATGAATCACAAGGGCTCCCTGGGGGAATGTAGGAGTCTCGCGAGCTTTGCGTAACTGTGGAGCTTGTTATTAGCGTCAAGTTCAATAATGTGTTTCTGAGTAAACAGAAGAGCTATTGAAAAGTTAAGTGGGGTTTTGTTATTACTGAAAACGCATTATACTTTTTAAAAGACTTTCGAATACTTAGGTTATTGTCATTTAACTCTTTCATCTACCCATGGATACGGAGATAGGCTACAATTATTGATACGGCAGCAATGTTTGTGGTTCATCAAAATTTACGAAACACTAACTTATGCAGGCATACATGCCATTAATTAATAAGAAACTTGACGTTTGAATTATCACGAATTCGAAGTGTCGCATTAAAATCCCATTTGTTACAATCATAAGACTTAACTTTTTGGGCAGGAATAATCGTACACTGATCACTCGGACAGCGACTTTTATCTAACCCATACTCAGGCAAGTTATATGTAACCTAAACTCAACGGTGCAAGAGACAGTTTGATGTAGGGGGTACTTAATTTAAGTACTAAGGTCTATTTTTGGGGCGATGAATGAATCCAAAGGAAGTAATGGGCGGTTGACGCCCCTCCTCTGCTACTTACGCCCCTGCCCGCACTATACCATTTGAACACACACGATGTATCAATACGCAACCGTTATAATACACCCTTACGGGTCTACATCCGATACGTAAAATAGTACGAAACGTATATATAACAAACTAGCAAAAGTCATTAATGTAATTTCTGTCTAGTTTATAAGTCAAGGATAGTATACCTAGTCAAGCATGAATTTGTTTTTGGTTATGTCACGTAGCAGTCTTAATAACGGATAGGTCCAAGAATTAACATTTTAAAACTGATTCTGAATCTGTGCCCCGTCCGAATTCCTGGCATGACTGAACCACACGACTGGTGACGACTGAGGAAAGCTGTCTGTAGCGTCAACTGGCTTACACTTAAAACTTAATTAGCCGAAAATCTAAATGAAGAAGGTAAACACATGTGTAAAAAGAGTATTGGTGACACTCGTAAAATCTTCATCTAATTAAGCATTTTGGAATTAGCCTGTTCGATCATTAAATTTGGCAAAACTTAATTGCGCATTTGATTAGGCCGTTTTACGTAATGCGAGGTTTATGGGGAAGCATCAAACAGGCAAACTGATTAAACATGCTGTATTATCTACTCAAAACGTTTCATCTCTTTACGTCGGATCTTTGCGTTGATAGTATACATCTTATCGAAAAGAATATACATGCAATTAGTTATACGACTGATTTGTATGCATGTATGTGTGTGTGTATACATATGTATATGATACATAAAATCACAACATGAATTTTAAGTTATGCACTGGGTCACACTTTGTGAAAAGAATGAATGAATCCATGGCTTTGGTGTACATGGTTATGTGGGTGTTTAGCTATCTAGCATTGTTGTAATTGTTCTTAATTTAATGATAGACAATGCAGTGGAGCCCATGTTTTTTATATATAGATGTGTAATAGTGTCTTATTGGGAAATGTAACTGCTTCACAGTTTCCTTTATGGATTCAAATCCAGATGCAACTATGTAAGGATGGACATTGCATTTTTCCATTGTGTTCTGAGGCTTTGCGGTATCAGGTGAATTGATGAGGATGAGTGAAATTTTCCCGGTGTGACCATCTGAGCAACAGTGAGTCAGTGTTTGTGTCTAAGTGTCCTGTGATGGAGAGGGATCCAATCCAGGCTGCACATGACACTGAATTTCTCAGACAGCCAGGTTCCCCGGACACGCACCGAGCATGGATGAAAAGTTTTATCCTTAAAAAAGAGAAAATAAATAATTGCCCATTATTTGTGTTTTATTACAATTATGATGCATATTGGGTATTATTTGAATTCTAGTACAATATTTCCTTATGTGAATCTGCTGTAAGAAAAAAAAAAAGATTTGTAAAATTCTTACTCAGAGTTCCAGGAATAATCCTAATATTGAAAATTGTGAGAGATTTTGCTGTAACGTAAACTTTTCTTATAAAATTTCCAGGTTTATAAAGTGGTATACATTTAGTTTTCTGTACTATTAACTACATAAAGATCCCATAAAGGATCTCAAACCCTGCATTCCATGTAGTACGGATATCATGAGCATCTCTGCATTGTTGCATTGTTGACAAATCCTGTTTATTTAAGTGTAAAACTACTCTGAGAGGACTCTGATGTGGTGCTTTTAAGGATGACATGGATAGAATACAAATACATTCTTTGTGTGACATAGTAAATTCTAAAGCTGGGTGTTGTGATCTTCCAGCCATAGATGTATGCCAGACAATTAATTACTATGACTTCCGATTTCAGCATCTATTGATCTTCTCTATGGCCTTATTTTTCATTCCTAAATGGCGCACATCTCCAGGTTTGAATTGTAAGGGCAATGGAGGCCTGCGAATCAGCAGTCCACATGGTGTCTTCATATTAGGCTTCTCTCCATGTAAAATGGCACCTTACCATTTCGCCTTGAAAGGTTTAGATTGCCCTAAGAGCAAGGCAGAAGGTGAGTGGCCGCTTCTTGCTCAGCTGACCTTTTCCATTCAAAGCTTAATCAGTGACAAATGCTTGCATTAATTACCCCTGTAGTCCCATCCCAGTCCTCAGAGCTCCTGTGCCTCCAAGCGGTTACTCAAAAGGAGGGCGACACGCTGATTAGCGTGTGTGCATGTGTCTGTGTGTGCGTGTGTCTGTGTGTGTGTGTGTGCGTGTGCGCGCAGAGCGACTGGGGGCGGATGAGGCATTGCCACCATTTCACGCCGCTGGTTGCTCAGGGACCAGGTCCTGCCCACCTGCAGCTTTCATTTACTGATTAGCAGCGCTGACCGTGCTGAGCCCCACTGGCTGTGACCCTGGGAGGCGCAGGATGCACTGCGTGATCCATGGCTCTGTAAAGATTTTCAGATTAACTCACTCCCAGCCGGAACTTACTTTGGCTTTTCTTATTATTTCGCTCCACTCTCAGGTTCGCAGCTTTCAGTTGCCCCTAAACATTGTCTGTTTGTTGGTAACACATACAGTACCAACCATTCAACACAGAAAAGTAGCTCTTTTTTGTTTTGAAACATCTGTTGTATGTGCCAGGCAGACTTTCATGTGGATCAATCCATAAATGTTAAATAACTGTTCAATGTGTCCTTGCACATAATTGGCTATTTGCACTTATATCCATTTATTAGTGACTGAAGGGAGTATGGTTGGTTTACAATGATTAGTCGGATCTCAAAATAAGTATCAGGTTTATTTGGAGAGGAAGGTAGACAGAAATGGCATTGCACGATAACGTCTTTGGATTGTGAAAGATGAAATTACTGGTTGCTTTGTGTATTGAGTACAGTTTTTGGTTAGATATACAGGTAACACTTTACTTTAGGGGGCACAAGTAACTCAGTTACTACTCAAGAACAAATCATTAACTATTATAATTCCTGCATGAAATACATGAACCGTCATGGCTGCCTCATGATGAACAAACATGGGATCAGTATGTCGCTAACACTTACTTACTGGTTAATTAATGCATTAAGTAAGAATGCACTACTACATTATCTGTGTCCCAAAGTAAATTATCAATTTACATTTATTCCTATGTAAAGGTTTGAGCATCTTAAAAGTTAATACAAGACACAAGGGAACAAGTGAAGTGTATAAAACAGGAAACGACCCCAACATAATGACATTATTAGCATGTGTAGTCATTTGCTGAGACATTGCTTTAACATGACAGACTTTTTGCTACTTGTGGTCATTAATGTCCTTAATTTAAAAACAAATTCAGTAAACAGTGAAACAAAAAGTACCAGTGTTTCACCCAGAGCTGCATAAAACAACATATGCATGAAGGTGTAAATAAAGAATCGGTAAATGTTAATGCTAATTACAAGTCCATGTGGGGAATAAACTTTTATGATAATCTTATATCATCATCATTACATCATTACATAATAATACTGACTCATAATGTTGAAAATATGCCTTTGCAAAGATGTCCTTCACGTTCTGTGGCTGGTTATAGAAGTCTGCTCCATGGATGCTTATTCGTTCCACAGGCTTCATTCTGCATGTATCAGTTCAAATTAGGTCTCTGGATGTTTACAGTGCTGACAATGATCTCCCCCAGATCTCTTCCGGATCTCCCTCAGATCTCTTCCAGATCTCCCCCAGATCTCCCCAGATCTCCCCCAGTTCTCTGCTACATTTAGACCTAATATACTTAACACGATGAAATACGGTAATGATAATGGAAAAAGCAGTCGTACAGAATATGAATTACAGTACCCAATGTATAATGCAAATACAATACAGATCAGCAATCTTCGATAATACTTTAACGTTCCAAAGTTTTTCTGCTAAATTGCTTCACATAAACACTAGTATACTCAGATATATAGTAATGTACTCCGTCTCCATAATAATAATTAAGATAGGAAGATACAATAAAAGGCAGCGATCAGACTTAAAACCCACATTTTATTTACATCGTTTCAGACATTTGTATGGTGTTCACAGATATGGTTATTGTCTTCTTTTTAATCCTGCAAATAGCTCTCTGAAGCAGTATTCCAACCAGACCTTCCTTTTATTGACATTGTTCTGAAGTTAAGGAGCAAGCGGACATAGACGCAGCATCCAAAGCACACAAAGGAAGGTTACCTTCATGGTCTGCATCTTTCCCAAAAGCGAAGACAAACAAACAGGTTCATTTATTTACTTGCATTCCTGATGAACCATATGAATGTTGCCTGTGTGCATATATGAATGTATGCTATATATCTTAGGGGAGTAAGCTGATTATCACAAACGAAGTCCATCGCTGGATTACTGAGGGCACTTGAAGCACTTCAGGAGTTGTTATTTATGCTGTTATTCGGCATTAAGGTGATTTTATTGCTTTGCCTTCAGGCTGGTTTCGGCACACATGTCAGCGAGCCGCTCTGCAGATGAGGCCCCGGCAGCACAGTGACTTGTTCTCATCAGAAGGCCCTGGGGACTGCAGGCGGATTATTATGGTAATATTATAGCCCTTCTGCCCTCTCCACCAGCACAGCTGGGCTGCCGCATCATTACAAGTATTGTAACAATCTGTTTGGCGGAGCACAGGATGAGCGCTACACGCATAGATCACGTGTAACGTGATTAAAATTTGCAGCTTGAATGAAATGTAAAGCATGTTTTGAACCCCCTGCTCAAGTTATCCAGATAATGTGAGTGTGTGCATGTGTGTGTACGCGTTCCTGAGTATATGTTTTATGAGGCTTATTATATTTAATGAAGGGGATTTGTTAGTAAAGGCTTTTTGCTATACTTTTTATTCATTTTTTAATTATATAATGTGACATCATCATTTTGCCAGGCAAGTAAAAAATTAGGGCAGAAATGATTCCTCATTTAGACTGTAGTCATTCTGTTAGTTGGGCTGATTTCATTTATCTCTTTTGTTACCTCCGTCTTCCTTCAATGGACTGTGGCTTACAGTGTTTCACATCATGTTCACAATCGCAAGGCTTCATGTCACATTAATTCATCCAGGCAATGATATGATTACCGGTTACATCGCAGATACATGCCAGATATATCTGGAAAAACTGCTAATAACTGTTAGTGGTTAATTTCTTCAGTCATGTAGTGTGAAACCAGCTGTGTCCATAATGACATATAGACAAATCATTAAATTAGCATTTTGGGGGACATTGTTGTTCATGAAGTTCTAAGCAACATTCATTTACAGGATGTATGTATCCATCCATAACCACTTACCCTATTCAGGGTCACAGTGGGTCCAGAGCCTATGGGCACACAGCAGGGAACATCCAGGTTGGGGTGCCAACCCATCACAGAGCGCACTCACATCTATGGGCAATTTGGTGATGTCAATTAACCTCAGCATGTTTTTTGGGCTGTGGGGGGAAGCTGGAGTACCCAGAGGAGACACGACACGACAACATGGGGAGAACATGCAAACTGCACACACACAGAACCCTGGTGGAGACTCGAACCCTGGTTCCAGCGGGTGTGAGGCAAGAGTGCTAAACACTGCACCACCATGCCACCCTGTACAGGATGTATCGTATAGGGTTATTTTTTGGCTTTTTTAATATGATATCTGGACACAACATTCATTAAAATGTGAAATCTGCAAATGTAAGTTGCACTTACTGTCAAGATTCTAACTCTTTACTCTGCCATGGGTAAGTGGGGGGGGGGGGGGTTGGAGCCTGTTTCAGGCTGCATAGAGACACCCGGGCCAGGATTGGGCTCCATGACAGGGCACATGCACGATCTCGTCCCATGGGCAGTGGCTGCATGCTTTGGAGTGCCGAAGAAATCCACACACATCGAGGAGAACAAGAGAGGCACACAGAGTTGAGGCAGAATTTGAAGCCCCAGCCCTGGGTCTGCCAACTACTGAGACACTTTTTTTGCTGTTGTGTGTCCATATGATCAACCTCTAGCATAGGGTGCAGTAAACGAGCAGATAGCTATGTGAAACACAATATGACATCAAGTGCTTTCTGTCGTCATATACTTTGTTTCAAAGAAACAAGATGGTTCTGAGATATCAAATATTAATTCTTTCTGTCTTTGTTCTATTTTTGGTACTCACTTTAATGTAATTCTATGCAGATATTAATAGAGAAGCAAATCAATTACAGACAAACGAGAGGAAAGGCCCTTTTGAATGTTCTAAAATGAACTAGAGAAAAAAATCTGAATATTTAATTATATATGTTACATATTTAATTACATATAGTGTCTAATTACATTTAATTATAAGCATGTCACACTTTTTTTTTTTACTTTTGCTAAGCTGCATAGAATTCTCTAGATACTAGAAGCAGCAACCTGACCCTATAATAATCTTCAAATAAGTTCTAATTAACTTATTTGAAAGACAGAGAGAGAAAAGCAGAGCTAATTGTAAGATTATTAAATACATTACCTGAAGCAAAGGTGCACGTCAGGCTCATTGTTGTCACCTTAACAAGGTGTGACGGGGAAACGTTTGCTTACAGAACCAATATACCTATTAGGGTCGCGTTTCCCCCACATAAGAGCTTATTAATTATTTGTGGCCGTCTGACTTTATGTTTTGATGCTGGTGGCCTGGTCAGGGATTATAATTACCACTTTGCTGTCTGTATCATATTTATCCCCCTGTTCTTCGTGCCATATTACTCACGCATCTTCTCCTCCTCCTGGTACACAAGACCAAAAGTGCAGGCACATCATTTATTGATAAGACAAAAAGAATGTAATGAAATTATCAATGTTCTTGAATTAATTATGAACATGATTAAGAAAGCTAAAATCTCTGGAGCCAGGGTCTCATTACGCATTCAGTCTTAGGGACTGCTTTCATTCAGGGCAGGGAATAGGCTTTGAGCACGCAGTGCTTCTCCTTTACCTTTCCTTCACATTCTCATCCTGGCCGGAGCACAGTCTTCTGGGCTCGTTTTGACCCTTTTGCTTGGTGTCCTGACACCCAAAGCACAGTCTGTTTTTATTTTTTCATAACCCAAGCGGTGTCCTGACTCAGTGGCCTGCACCTCTTCCTGGAGCCTGCAGCGGATCCCAGATCACCGGCAGCCTCTCTCCGCAGCGTCTCCACTGCTGGCCCTCCAATGATGTGAGTACCCTGCTGGGCCACTTTACTTTCTGCTATGCTTTAATGCATGTTTTACCAAAATTAAATGCCATATTTCTAATAACTATTAGGAATGTAAGATTTTTGTATGCTTAATCTTTTAAATTGTTGCCTGGCTTATATTGGTATCAAACTGTATTTTTTTTTTTTTGTAATTGAAGGGCGTGTATCTGGGAACTGTACAAAGAGTGCTGAAACTCTCACTGCCAACTTTTACTGGGCATTACAGTCAGCGGGTTCAACAGCACCATTAAACTGTATAACGATCATCTCTTTCTGAAACGGGAGCTTATTTTAAGCTTACCTTTGGAATCCAATAAAAGGGAACCTTCATGGATTACAAATCATATTTTATACACTTTTTATATGGTCATGAGCAATGTTGTTCGTATCATGTATGGAATTAACTGCAAAGTAATAATGATTTGACATTTAATAATGTATCAGTGGTACATGCACAATCCAAGTTTTTTCTTTGCTTCTCATATTTTTATTAAATAAATTATACATATTGAAAAACAGTAAAATGACTGGATAGATATTGTGAATAAAGTGAATCTGACAAGATCTTTCACTGTGTTGTCAAGGCATGCATTTCTTTGCAAAGTCAAATTTAAAACAAGGGGATGTAATGGGATGATTAGATGAGATATTTGCATTTTCATGCTCCCCAACAGTCACTTTGACTGGTGTTCAGGGTACTGTGAGAATCAAGACAAAATTTTAACATGGAAATCATTTACTATATTTTTATGTATGCAAGAGTAACATACAGAAGGATGTTACATGTTACTTTTTCGTTACTTATGTCTAATCACAAAAGAAATCTGCTTTCACAAGTAAGGGATCCATGTGTTTCAAAACGCCAGTAAGAGCTGACAGTAGTGAAGTATATGACCCTGTGGGTTTTGGGCAGGACATCCCAGAAGAAAATAAAGAAAATAAAGTGGTTTTATAAAGCAGTAGTACAAAAGAAAAGTAGATCTTGTTCAGTATATATATACTGAAAGTTTTTGAAGTACAAAAATAAAAATACAATAAATGTATTATTATTATTATTATTTTATTATTACTATTATTAATATACTATTGGTATATTACATTACTGATTGCTGTATTACCACAGTTGGTTTGTTCCTATATGAAAGCACATCATGTGTATGAGGGAAGGGTTGTTTTGTGTTTGCTGGACCCATATTTGAGTACTTCTGTGTGTGTGTTGGGGGGGGGGGTTAAATAATTTGACTAAATTATTTACTGCCCTACATTTAATCCCAGTCAAACAATGTATGTTTACACCAACAAAAAATACTTTTTAAAAAAGGCCTTTAAGGCTTTGCTCTACTCAGAAGGGTTAATGGACACAAGAGGGGCCTTGGATTGATCGGGGATATTGGATCGCCCATAAAGCTGCTGTTATTGGATATTACCCTGCTATCAGCCTGCCACCATGGCACAGATAAGAAGTGCTAACTGAGGAGAATGTTCCTAGCGGGCAGATAGGGTTTCCGGTCCCACAGGGCCGAAGAGCCACATGCTGCCAGCTCAGGAGCTTTTACTTCATCGAGTAAATCCAGGGCTTATCAAGTTACTGCCCCCTAACTGCTCAAATATTTAACTACTCTCATTAAATGTTGCTAAAGCATGTAGCTGACAGAAACTAATTAAAATGCATCTGCTTTTCATAGATAATGCTTGATTTCTATACGATGCAGAAAAATAAAAAAGATACAAGACTTGCAGTCCTGCACAGTCAGATGCAATAAAACATTCGGTGTAAAGACATTAACCAGAGTTTGCATTTTTAGTACTGCTGATTTTAGAAAGTATGCTATCACAGTTTGCTTTTTATTTTATAATGGAACATCATAACAAAACATTCCGATAAATTTTAATATTAGAAGAAAAGAAAAACATTGCATTATACTCTATGACAAATTACTAAATTTGGAGTAATCTTCTTTGAGGGAGTAACATATTAGTTTGATTTTAAATGAGGAATAGGACCTATAATTAAGCTGTAATGCAGTAATGGTCACTTTTACATTATGAGGACGATCCGCAAACTCACTGGATGAACAGCTAGGGAATGCAAACGCTCACAGAGACGTCAGCCGCTAAACTGCTACTCAGCTGCTCTGCAGGATGCCGAGCCTGAGAACATCTGCTGTGGGCGGCTGGCCAGTCGCTGCGGCCCAGATGCTCTGTTTAGCGCCGTCATTATTTCAACAGCAAGTTCTGATATGGCAGCCCACAGGGTTTTAAATTCACTGGCTTGCTTAGGAACTTTGCCTGACACCTTAGACAATGTGGATAATGTGAAGTCAGAGGCTCCTTGGGATGCACAGGAGGCTCCATCAGACAGATGGATACCTAAAACTCTGATGGTTATGGAAGAAAAAATGAACCCTTTAAAGATGCTTTTTGCTTTTCTAATTTCAAGATCTTTATATGCAGTATCAAAGGAATCATGGTTGTTGATTTGAGGGTCTCGTTGTGGGGTGGACCACATTAACTAATGTAATAACACCATACTTATGATGATGTAATCCCAGCTGTGACCTGTCCTCAGCGTAGGTGGAGGTTAATAACACCATACTTATGATTTAATCCCAGCTGAGACCTGTCCTCAGCGTAGGTGGAGGTTAATAACACCATACTTATGATGTAATCCCAGCTGTGACCTGTCCTAAGCGTAGGTGGAGGTTAATGACACCATACTTATGATGTAATCCCAGCTGTGACCTGTCCTAAGCGTAGGTGGAGGTTAATGACACCATACTTATGATTTAATCCCATCTGAGACCTGTCCTCAGCGTAGATGGAGGTTAATGACACCATACTTATGATTTAATCCCAGCTGTGACCTGTCCTCAGCGTAGGTGGAGGTTAATGACATCATACTTATGATGTAATCCCAGCTGTGACCTGTCCTCAGCGNTAATCCCAGCTGTGACCTGTCCTCAGCGTAGGTGGAGGTTAATGACATCATACTTATGATGTAATCCCAGCTGTGACCTGTCCTCAGCGAAGGTGGAGGTTAATGACACCATACTTATGATGGTTTAATCCCAGCTGTGACCTGTCCTCAGCGATGGTGGAGTTTGATGCTTGCACTTTGTCTGCCTGTAGGGTATGACCAAACCACAAATGCAAAGGTGCAAAGCGCCCCCCCCCCCCCAGATTCCAGCCATGGCCTTCAGCAGTGGGACAATTCAAACACGTAACAAGATATGTTTCGAGTAATACACTTATGGAGAGAAGTAATGATTTATGGCATTCAGTATAGTATATAACATTTCAGTTGAGGGGCGGCATGGTTAGCACTGTTGCCTCACACCTCTGGGATCAGGGTTTGAGTCTCTGCCGTCACCCTGTGTGTGGAGTTTGCATGAACTCTCTGCATCATTGTGGGATTTCTTCCATTTCTTTACATTGGTTAACCCCCCCCCCCCAAGTTCAAAATCCTGCAAAGGTGAATTGGATTTACCAGAGCATAGGTGTGTATGTGTGTATATGCATGCATTTGTGCATTCCCCCCTGCTATGGGTTGGCACCTCATCCTGGGTTATCCCCTCCCTTACACCCATAGCTCCAGGATAGGCTCTGTGACCAAGCCATTACAGAAAATGAGTGGATTTCAGTGCATCACAGGACATTAATTTGAATTAAAATACACTTAAACTCTAAAATAATGATACAATAAATAGGTCAGCATATAGTTTTATTCGTTCAATGCAAGCCTACAGCTTGAAATCGAGCACAAGAAATGATAAGTAAGCATCTGTATCTTACATAAATGGTTCCTTTTAAATGAAGTCAATAATTGACCTTTTTTGACTATTTCTATGTTTTCATTTTACAGTTGATCTTATTCAGAATGGCTTTGATGACTTAATGGTTTAGAAAACATGAGAACTGAGAACTTCCATCCACCCACCTTCATATTACCTCCATCCATCCATTGTACCCACTTCTCTGATGCAAGTAACTTGAACATTAAATTTGTCACTTTAAACTGGAATGTACTAAATTATATGTATGTGTCAGTCACTGAAATTAGGCTAATGGCTATAAATGACTTTCACAATTCAAACCACAGAAACAGTTTCTACTAGCAGATGATTATGATCTGCCTATGTCAACTCTTGTATTACTTATTTGTATTTATTAATAAACTTTATTTGTTTTGAAGAGATGTCACACAATTAAGAACAGGATGGCACCTTCAGGATTAAACCTGTCAAAACCTGACCGATTTGAAGGAAAAAAAAGAGTTAATTTATAACAAGAATAATGCCATGCACAGCGCAGGCCTTTCAGTGATAGCATACTGACTTCAGCATTATAGGTCTTTCTTCTGAAATTGAGTCCTACATCTTGATCAATTTTCTGATGTCACTGAAGAGTAATGCCCCCCCGCCCCCCCCCACTCAAATACTAGCCATAGTATCCTGCCCAGACCCAAGGGGCAATGACAAGGACAAAGGAAAGGGAGGTAGCTACCCATCCACTGAGCACAGAAGGCGTACCCTTCAAGATGCAATGAGCACTTCCTCCCTCGTGAAAATCTAATTTTGGGAAAATAACTGTCTATATATAAACACATAAACAAACAAACAAGCAAACTCACACATATATGTGTGTGTGTGTGTGTGTGTAGTGTGTGTGTGTGTATATATATATATATATATATATATATATATATATATATATATATATATATATAAAATGTGTGTAGATGGAGAGAGAGCCAGTTCTCAAAGGTTCCTCTATCTGCTTGTGGGGACCTCCTCTTGCAGAATGTAGCAGTGGCCGGATAAGCATGCTATTTACCTGTCAATACATTCCTATTAGCCCCTCAGATCCATACATCAGAACCCTGCTGGCCTGCAGTTCACTTATCTTTGTTGGAGTGTCTGCCTTTGATTTATCTAACACCCAGGTTAATGAGACATGGAGCCCAGGGTGGCTCCAAGGGTAATGCACTCTTGTATAAAAATGCTTAGGAAGGATCAAGTGATAATCCATAGTAGACTTAAAAAGCTCAGGACTTCAACAAATGTTGTACTTCTTAATCCCTCTGCAGAGGCATTAATAGCTGCTCCTAAGGTTTCTGTTCTTGCAACATCCCTGCAATAAGTGAAATTAATGATAGCAGACATTATCTTACATTTTATAAAGTGTATATCTAACTATGCCCACCACACCTGTGCAATAAGGCAGTCAATAATTAATATGTACTTGTTTCACTGAAACCAGTTTGTATGGTGGAATGTCCTGTGGATTAAAGGGGATGGTTTTGTTACTTATACCAGACCTATGAGAGTGTTTTTCAGGGTTCTTGACACATTATTTTTGGAAATTAATAGATTAATAAGTTCTCAATATGTATACATATATTCATTCATATTTTTAATCTATCCATCTTCAATCCACTTATTCAGGAGATAGTTGCAGAGGGACTCAATC